AAAAATAATTGTGCTTTAACCGCAGCCAGCAACTAGGTACACTGCAGCTGCTCACTCACTCCCTCACTTCCAATCCTCCAGCTGGATGGGGAGAAAAAAAAAAAAAAAAAAAAAAAAAAAAAAAAAAAAAAAAAAAAAAAAAAAAAAAAAAAAAAACACCTTTGTGGCTTGAGATAAGAATTGTTTAATTCTTAAGAAAACAGTATAATAATAATAGAAAAGAAAACACCAGAAAAGCAAAGTTCAATTGCTTACCACCTGCTGAGCAATGCTCAGCCTGTCTCTGGGCAGTGATTAGTTCTGTCTGCCCAACTCCTCCCAGTTTACATTCTAAGGATGACATTCTGTGGTGTGGAATATCCTGTTGACCAGTTAGTGTCAGTTCTCCCTGCTATCTCCCCCACAGCTTCATGTTAACTTTCTTGCTGGTAGAGCATGGAAAGCTGAAATGTCCTTGATGTGGAGTAAGCACTACATAGGAATGACCAAAGCATCAGGGTGTCATATTAAAAACATAGTGCTGTACCAACTACAAAGAAGAAAGCTAACTCTATGCCAGGCAAAATAAGAACAGTCACCTCCTCCGTCTCCTCCTTCATCTTCTCCTAATCTTCCAACATTTTCTTCCACTGCCTCCTCCTTCTTTTCTGCTGCCCTCTTTCTTCCACTTCCTTATTCTATTCTACCTCTTCTGTCTCCTCCTCCTTTTCTTCTTACACCATCTTCTTCTACCACTTTCATCCTCTGCTTTCTTCTGTGGCCTTCTCCTCACTCTGCCTTGTTCCATTGCCTCCTGCTCTTTTTCCAGTGCCTTCTTCCATAAAGTCTTCCATCTGGTTTTTTGCTGCCTTCTTCTTGGACTTTATTCCACCACCTTCTCCATTCATTCTGCCTTCTTTTCCTCTGCAATCTTCTTTTGTCACCTGTACCATCACATCCTCCTTTTCTTCCGCCACGTTTTTCTGGTGTCTTCTTCCATCACTTACCTCACCACATTCTTCATCACTTTCTTCATTCCTGATTCTAGCACCTTCCATTGCCTTCTTTCACATCCTCCTTTTCTTCTTCCATCACACACTTCTGCTGCATTCTGCTGCATTCTATCTGCCCTCTCTTCCTTCACTGCCTTTTTCCACCACTGTCATTGCCTCCCTCTTTATTTCTTCTGCCACCTTTTGCCTTCACCGCCTTTGCTGTCTCTTGCTTATTCCATCACCTTCTTCACCATTGTCTTCTACTGCCTCCCCAGTTGTTTCTTCCTTCTTTACTTTCACAGCCTCCTCCTCCCCCTCCTTCACTGTCTTCTTCCATAGCCTCCTTTTTCTCTTCTTGCAATGTCTTCTGCCACCTTCCTTCATTGCCTTGTCTGTAGCCTTCTCCTTCTTCTTTATTCTATGGCTTTCTTCCTCTGCCTTTTTTTTTTTTTTTTTTTTTTTTTTNTTTCTTCCTCTGCCTTTTTTTTTTTTTTTTTTTTTTTGTTTCCTCCACCATTGCCTCCTCCTATTTTTCTGCCTGCTTCTGTTGCCTTCATCTGCCACAGCCACCTTCCAACGCAAATGCCTTTCTTCTGCCACCTCCACCTTCTGTCTTCTTCCACCACCATTTTTTGGTGCCTCCTTCCACCACTGCTGCCTTCATGTGCTGCCTGTCTCTGCTGTCTTCCTCCACTGCTTTCTGCTACCACCAGCTCCTGTCAGTGCAGTCTGCTGTCACATTTCATCACTGCCTCCTGTTGCTGCCTTCTGCCACCTCCCACTGCTGCCACCTTCCACTGCTGAATTAATCAGCCACTGCCTCCATATCCTGAAGCTGCCTCCTGTCTCACTGCCTTTACCACTGTATTTCACCACCACACCATTCCATGACTTCCACCCTTCAGCCACTGTATGACTCCACCTTTGGCCTCTGTCACCTTCCACTCCCTCCACCTTCTCTTATTCACCACCTTCTTCTAGCTTCTTTTGTCACCTATTCTGTCATCTCATTCACCATCTTCTTCTCTTCCACCACCTTCTTCTGCTTCCTTTTCTACATCACTTCCTCTGTCACCTCCTCCTTATCTGCTTCTGCTGCAGCCTTTTGCAACTTCTTTTGTCACCTTCTCCATTGCTTCCTCCTTCTCCTCTATGGCCTTCTGCTGCCCACTGCCACTCCTTGCTTCTGCCAGTTCTTCCACAATTTCTTCCTTTTCTTCTGCATTTCCAAGAGATCCTAATGAAACTGTAATCGGCAAACCCAATAATTGTAACTGTAGTTGTTAATGACTGTATAGGAATGTCTTTATTGGCTCATTGGCAAATTATTACATTGGAAAGCTTATAATTTTAATTATACCTGTGAGAGAAGTGTTACATTTTAACAGGATAAAGAAAATAAGATTTTTTGCCTAAATTATTGCTCAGTGATACATGTTTTAACTCTGCCTCTGACAGTATTCTTGTACTATTCCACTGATCCTTGAGTAAATAATATTACCCTTCAATCCATTTATCTTCCTGCCTTTTTTGTGTGTCTTAGCTATACATAGTGGAGGTCTTAAGACAGGGACACTTTACATTAGTTATTTTCACTTTGCCCAGCATGAAATACAATGGGATGTTTATAACAGAAATTAGTATTGAATTGTCATATCCAGTTTAAATGCCTATATACTTTGTGTGCTTTGACAATGAAGAGATGATTTCATAGAACCACAGGATATTTTTTGCCTGAAGGAACGTCCACTGGGTGGAGGTCTGTGGTCCAACATCCAACTTAAAGAAATTCCACTTTGTAACCTAGAAGAGCTTGCTTAGGGACTTACCTATCTGAGAACTGGAAACCCCCAAGAAGGGAGATTCTACAATCTTCCTGGGGATTCTCTGTTCTGGCACAGTAGGACCCTCAAGGGCAAATTCTTCTCATTTTGTTCCTGCAACCCATAACCATTCCAACTTGTCATTATGGCATGCACTGTCTCTATTTCCCTACAGCTGCCTTTTTTGGTTGTGAAGTGTTGGAATTACACCTCCCCTAGACCCACCTGCCCTTAGCTTTCTTCTCTCCAAGCCAAAGAATAGCAAGTCTTCTGTTTTTTCTTGTATGTCATGTGCCACCTAATCATCTAGGACACTAATCAACTTGTTGGCCATCTGCTGGAAATTCTCAGGTATTTAACACTACTTTTGCATGGAGTGGAAGGTGTGAACCAAATTGGACTTTATTCAGCCCTTTACAATAGTCAGGTCTCCAAAAGGAGCAGAAGGGGTTTGTCATCAGTCAGTAACACAGATAATGCAGAAAATGGACAAAAATGCTTTTTGCTAATGACATAGTAGATGTACTACTGACCTAGCAATGATAAAGAGTCCATCTTGCCCTTAATCATCAAAGGGACAGATAATTTTTTCACTAGTTTTACATGTTGCAAAAGAAATTTGACTAATTTTTTTCCTAGCCTAGGAAGCCGGGTAAGAGTAATTTTGCATTTTTCCCAGAAATTTAAATTGTTGTAGAGTGCCAGTGTCCTGGAACATGAGATGTTTTTATCTACAAATAATAATTATAGCATCTTAGCAGACTAGATTATTTCTGTAGTGTGTACTTGTTTACCAGTAACATTGGTATTTGAAATGCATAAGAGAATGGGCAGGTCCAAGTCCCAGTTTTTTGACAGTTGTACAAGCATTTTCATTAGCCAGTATGAGTCAAATAATTTACTAGAGTCTGTTGTCACTGTTGCTCACATACAAAATGAGATGCATTCCATGAAATGCACATCAAGTAACAAGTTGAGGAGATTTTTGTTGAATTGCATTGTGTTGATTTAAAAATCCATCCTCTTGGCTGCACCAGCATCTGAACTGGGAGGAGCACATATGCATTTTCCCTGCAGGTGCTTCAGGGGAACCTCTGTCTCTGAAGGATAATGCCTGTAAGCCACCAACTCACTTAGGGCAAGTGAAAACTAGAGCTTTCAAAAAATGGAAATATGGTTCTTGACTGAAATCAAGAACCAGATCAATTCCAGTGAAACACAGCACAGAACCATAGAATTACAGAATCATACAATCACAGAATGTTATGGGATTGGAATGGATCTTAAAGACCATGTAGTCCCAAGCCTTTTCATCCCCCACCATATCTCTGGGTCACTAGTTTAGCACTTTATTTCTCATGCTACTCAGCTACACAGGTTCTTCTCACCCCTCCTCATTAGCGACTTGTCTTCCTTTAGAGCAGGAGATGAAAGTGGTATTGAAATGTTCTGAGTTTCAGTAAAATTTAAAAGTGAAACTTAAAGAGTGTTGTGGATCTTGCACTTAACATTGGTATCTCAGTTCCAGCAAAGCGATAACATGTCATTTTACAGTTGTAGAGATAGAGGGGACTCTTCAAATGCAGCTGATAATTTATTATAGTGTATAAATCTGCAGAGAGGTTAGGAAAACTTCCAGCAGGACACATTTCCTAAGTTTTTAATTAGTTCAGAAAACTATTCTGTCTTTGTAAGGCCTTTTCACTATTTTCTTCCTCCTGCCCAAATGTTTTATTAACTTTCTAAGGACTATGAATTGAAACTCAGATAATTGCTTTCTACTTACTATATATTACATGAGGTGTTACTAGTATGACACTCAAGAAAATTCTCCCAGAAGTAAGGCTAATCAGAAGTCTAACTTTAAATATTACCAATATCACAAAGTCTGGAGTCAGCCAGGCTTCCCCAGCATGAGTCCTGTCTTGTCAGAGAGATCTCATGCAATGAAGCTCTCACAGAGAGGTTCATTTTGAGTAAGCAATTAGTTATTTTATACCTTTTTGGTGTAGATACATAAGTAGGCATAGGGCATCAGTGCCTGGAAGAGTTGTTGCTGACTCCTTTTTTTCTGCAAGTCAGTTCTTTATCACAGTTTCTTTGTCCTGCACCCACCAATTTGTTTGGTGTTTCTTCTGGGAGGTTTTTTTGTTTGTTTTGTTTGTTTATTTTGTTTTGTTTTGGGGGTTGTTTTGGTTTGGTTTAGATTTGGGTTTTTTGTTGTTTTTTTTCTGAGAGGAACATGCTCTTATTTATAAGACTGTTCCCAAGAGAACTGTCACTGCAGAAGACATGTTTTCCAGTGAAATAGATGATTATTTGCTAAAATACTCTTTGCTATGGAGAACTTTCGCTATTTTTACCTATAATTCTTCACTGCAGTGGCTGAAAATGATGATTGGTGCCATCCATCTCTTGTACAGCACAAGTTAACATTTTCAATAATAAGTTGGGCAGATGGACAGAGTGCACCCTCAGCAATTTTGCAGATGATATAAAACTATGAGGACTGATTGATACACCTGTTGAGACAAAGGGAACATCCTGTACATGGGAAAGAATAACCTCATGTACCAAAGATGGAAAGCAACTTTGCAAAAAAAAAAAAAAAAAAAAAAAAAAAAAAAAAAAAATTTAAAAAAAAAAAAAAAAAAAAAAAAAGGATGTAGGAGTCCTCAAGGAAAGGTTGAAGATGAGTCAGCAACATGCCCTTGCAGCAAATAAATCCAACAGCATTTCTGACTGTACTAAGGAATACCCCTATTATGCACCAACAAGATCACATCTGAGATATGTATTCAGTTCTGGACTCCCCAGCACAAGAATTACAGGGACATGCTGGAGAAAGGCCAGCAAAAGGCCACTAAGATCATGAAGGGGTTGGAGCACCTTTCATATGAGGAGAGGCTGAGAGATCTGGGATTATTTAGCCTTAAAAAGAAATTTCAGGAAGAACCTTATTGATTCTCAGTTGTGTAAGAGACATAAATTCAACTAATTCAGAAAATTCTGTTTAAAAATAACCCTGCTCATTTTTTACTGTAAGGATAGTCTAACCTGATATGGATATTGAATATCTCTGGAGATGTTTCAAACCTGATTGAATACTGAAAAAGCTGCTCTAGCTGACTATTATTCAAGAGCAGAGGTCAGCCTAGATAATCTCCAGAGATTCCTTCCAACCTCTAGATATTCACTGTGATTCCATAAATGGAATCTCAAAACCGAAGAGTCTTAAATATTCTTTTAATTTTTGAGATGTTTGCATAAATTAATTGTAATTTCTAAATTGATTCTAACACACCCAGTAAAGAGGAAGATATGTTTTTCTGTACCAAATAAGTTGACTCTTTGTATCTGCACTACATTTCAACTTTCCTTTTGGAGATTGCTGTTATGCTGCCTGCAGTGCACTGAATTAAGATACATATTAAAAACAATAAAATTGTTCCATTAAACTGTATAGATTTATGATCGAGGTGCTGCTTTCCTAGCACTCTTAATAAATTGGAAGAAGCAAATACCAGTCCTAGTCTCATAGGAATAGTTCTATTACCTGCTGAAACTACCAGAAATTTATATTCCATTTACGGATTTTAAAGTCAACTAGGAGA